ATACTTAAAATTCTATTAAAAACCAAACATTGGGTCAGATAGTTTGAATGCTTTTAGCAGCCAAACACAAGGAATCCACCAGATCCTTTTTTTAAATCAAACATCAGAGGTCTCTGAGATTCTTCAAAATTATTTTAAAAATCAAACATCAGAGATTCCTGTTTTCGTTAAATTCTTTCAACATTCAAACACAAGGAACCCCGGAGATACTTCAACACTTTTTTAAAAATCAAACATAAGGAACCCCGGAGATACTTCAACATTCTTTTAAAAATCAAAATTTGGGGGTCCGTGAGATTTTTTAAATAATTTAACACTCAAACACAAGGAATCCACCAGATTTATTTTTTTAATCAAACTTCAGAGGCCCCTGAGATTCTTTAAATTATTTCAGTAATCAAATACAAGGAACGCCGGAGATTTTTCAAAATATTTTAAAAATCAAATATTGGGTTCCTTCAGATTTTTTAAATTCTTTTTACAGTCAAACACAAAGAATCCACCAGATTCTTTTTTTTTATCAAACATCAGAGAACCCTGAGATTCTTTAAATTAATTCAATAATCAAATGTAAGAAACCCCGAAGATTATTCAAAATTGTTTTAAAAATCAAACACAACGAACAACTGAGATTCTTCAAAACTCTTTTAAAAATCAAACATAAGGAAGTCCGGAGATACTTCAAAATTAAAAAAAATCAAACATTGGGGATCTTTGAGATTCTTTCAATTCTTTCTTTCAACAATCAAACACAAGGAACCCCGAAGATTCTTCCAAACTCTTTTAGAAATCAAACATAAGGAGTCTTAGAGATACTTAGAATTGTGTTAAAAAACAAACATTGGGTCAGATATTTTGAATGCTTTTACCACCCAAACACAAGGAATCCACCAGATCCTTTTTTTAAATCAAACATCAGGGGCCTCTGAGATTCTTCAAAATTATTTTAAAAATCAAACATCAGAGATTCCTGATTTCGTTAAATTCTTTCAACATTCAAACACGAGGAACCCCGGAGATTCCTCAACACTTTTTTAAAAATCAAACATAAGGAACCCCGGAGATACTTCAACATTATTTTAAAAATAAAAATTTGGGGGTCCGTGAGATTTTTTAAATTGTTTTTACAGTCAAACACAAAGATTCTTTTTTTTTTATAAAACATCAGCGACCCCTGAGATTCTTTAAATAATTTCAATAATCAAATATAAGAAACCCCGAAAATTCTTCAAAATTGTTTTAAAAATCAAACACAACGAACAACAGATTCTTTAAAACTCTTTTAAAAATCAAACATAAGGAAGTCCGGAGATACTTCAAAATTAAAAAAAATCAAACATTGGGGATCTCTGAGATTCTTTCAATTCTTTCTTTCAACAATCAAACACAAGCAACCCCGAAGATTCTTCCAAACTCTTTTAGAAATCAAACATAAGGAGTTTAGAGATATTTAAAATTCCGTTAAAAACCAAACATTGAGTCAGATAGTTTGAATGCTTTTAGCAGCCAAACACAAGGAATCCACCAGATCCTTTTTTTAAATCAAACGTCAGAGGCCTCTGAGATTCTTCAAAATTATTATAAAAATCAAACATCAGAGATTCCTGATTTCGTTAAATTCTTTCAACATTCAAACACAAGGAACCCCGGAGATTCTTCAACACTTTTTTAAAAATCAAACATAAGGAACCCCGGAGATACTTCAACATTCTTTTAAAAATCAAAATTTGGGGGTCCGTGAGATTTTTTAAATACTTTAACACTCAAACACAAGGAATCCACGAGATCTATTTTTTTAATCAAACATCAGAGGCCCCAGAGATTCTTTTAATTATTTCAGTAACCAAATACAAGGAACCCCGGAGATTTTTCAAAATTCTTTTAAAAATCAAATATTGGGGGTCCGTCAGACTTTTTAAATTCTTTTAACAGTCAAACACAAAGAATCCACCAGATTCTTTTTTTTTATCAAACATCAGAGAACCCTGAGCCTTTAAATTATTTCAATAATCAAATATAAGAAACCCCGAAGATTATTCAAAATTGTTTTAAAAATCAAACACAACGAACAACTGAGATTCTTCAAAACTCTTTTAAAAATCAAACATAAGGAAGTCCGGAGATACTTCAAAATTAAAAAAAAAAACAAACATTGGGGATCTCTGAGTTTCTTTCAATTCTTTCAACAATCAAACACAAGCAACCCCGAAGATTCTTCCAAACTCTTTTAGAAATCAAACATAAGGAGTCTTAGAGATACTTAAAATTGTGTTAAAAACCAAACATTGGGTCAGATATTTTGAATGCTTTTAGCAGCCAAACACAAGGAATCCACCAGATCCTTTTTTTAAATCAAACGTCAGAGGCCTCTGAGATTCTTCAAAATTATTATAAAAATCAAACATCAGAGATTCCTGATTTCGTTAAATTCTTTCAACATTCAAACACAAGGAACCCCGGAGATTCTTCAACACTTTTTTAAAAATCAAACATAAGGAACCCCGGAGATACTTCAACATTCTTTTAAAAATCAAAATTTGGGGGTCCGTGAGATTTTTTAAATACTTTAACACTCAAACACAAGGAATCCACGAGATTTATTTTTTTAATCAAACATCAGAGGCCCCAGAGATTCTTTTAATTATTTCAGTAACCAAATACAAGGAACCCCGGAGATTTTTCAAAATTCTTTTAAAAATCAAATATTGGGGGTCCATCAGACTTTTTAAATTCTTTAACAGTCAAACACAAAGAATCCACCAGATTCTTTTTTTTTTATCAAACATCAGGGAACCCTGAGATTCTTTAAATTATTTCAATAATCAAATATAAGAAACCCTGAAGATTATTCAAAATTCAAACATAAGGAAGTCCGGAGATACTTCAAAATTAAAAAAAAAATCAAACATTGGGGATCTCTGAGATTCTTTCAATTCTTTCTTTCAACAATCAAACACAAGGAACCCCGAAGATTCTTCCAAACTCTTTTAGAAATCAAACATAAGGAGTCTTAGAGATACTTAAAATTCTGTTAAAAACCAAACATAGGGTCAGATAGTTTAAATGCTTTTTAGGAATCCACCAGATCTATTTTTAAATCAAACGTCAGGGGCCTCTGAGATTCTTCAAAATTATTTTAAAAATCAAACATCAGAGATTCCTGGTTTCGTTAAATTCTTTCAACAATCAAACACAAGGAACCCTGGAGATACTTCAACACTTTTTTAAAAATCAAACATAAGGAACCCCGGAGATACTTCAACATTCTTTTAAAAATCAAAATTTGGGGGAGCGTGAGACTTTTTTAAATACTTTAACACTCAAACACAAGGAATCCACGAGATTTATTTTTTTAATCAAACATCAGAGGCCCCTGAGATTCTTTAAATTATTTCAGTAATCAAATACAAGGAACGCCGGAGATTTTTCAAAATTCTTTTAAAAATCAAACATTGGGGGTTCGTCAGACTTTTTAAATTCATTTAACAGTCAAACACAAAGAATCCACCAGATTATTTTTTTATCAAACATCAGGAACCTCTGAGATTCTTTAAATTATTTTAATAATCAAGTATAAGGAACCCCGAAGATTCTTCAAAAGTGTTTGAAAAATCAAACACCAGGGATCAGGGATTTTGTTAAATACTTTCGACAATCATACACAAGGAACCCCGAAGATTCTTCAACACTTTTTTAAAAATCAAACTTAAGGAACCCCAGAGATACTTCAACATTCTTTTAAAAATCAAAATTTGGGGGTCCGTGAGATTTTTAAATACTTTAACACTCAAACACAAGGAATCCATTTTTAATCAAACATCAGAGCCCTGAGATTCTCTAAATTATTTCAATAATCAAACACAAGAAACCCCGAAAATTATTTAAAATTCTTTTAAAAATCAAACATCAGGGGCCCCGAGATTCTGAAAATTCTTTCAACAATCAAACATAAGAAACCCCGGAGGTTCATCAAAATTCTTTTAAAAATCAAACGTCAGAGATTCGTAGTTCTTTTAAATTCTTTCGAAAATCAAACAGAATTAACCCCGTAGATTCCTCAAAACTCTTTTAAAAATCAAACATCAGGGATCCAGGAGATAGTTCAAAATTCTTTTAAAAATTAAATATTAGGGGTCCGTGAAATTTGTTAAATACTTTTAACAGTCAAACACACGGAACCAACGAGATTTTTTTTTTTTCTAAATCAAACATCAGGAGCCCCGAGATTCTTTAGTCTTTCGTTGAAAGTTGCAAAATCTAAAAATTGAAAAGTTCAAAAATCGGAAAAAATTAAAAAAATAAAACTCGAAAAGTTACATTTCGGAAAATTGAACGAAAAAAAAAAGAAAATTGTGAAAATGAAAAAATTAAATTGAAAAAACAAAAAATTGACGAAACAAGAAAAATGAAGAACTGGAAAATTGCAAAGAAACGAATGATTCGAAAAATTGAAAAAAATAAAGAAAAAAATAAATCGAGAAGCTCTAAAAAAGGAGGATTTGAGGAGGCTTTGTTGAGCAATATTTTAAATCCCTGTGTAAAAATACTTCTGTATTTACCCACAAACAAACATTATTGTTATTATTATTAAGTTGTCACTCCATGACTGACACTATCATCCAACAGATGTTTGTTTCTCTTACCCCCCGACCAAACACCACTCCCAGCCCCACCTCCACAATCCCCAACCCCTCACCCCCCAAATCCAATTAACTCTCTCTCCTCCTCGTCCATTTTTTCCCTCCCGAAAATAATGAAACCTGGTAAAAAATGTATCGCTCCGCTCCATATTTCACCCACATGACAGATTTTTTATCTCTCGATAATGATGCACCCAGGATTACGCCGCTGCGTTAATTACTCCGGTAAACCCCGACCGGCGCTCTCCGGCACGCACCCACCTCCAGAGGTGGAGCGCGTCCTCTGTTTACTCAGACGTCAGCGTCTTGACGCCACCGGGTTCCAGGATGCGCTCTGCGACAGGTGGCCACCGGTCACGTGGTGCGCCGCTCTATACAGGGTGACGAAAAATTGTGCAATGAGCCCGTTTTGACAGCGTACGCACCAAAAGCCTATATATACGAAGCCGCCTCCTTCGCCGCATCACAGATATCACAGCAAGCGCCGTGTAACAATCGAGATATCTAGTCGGCTCTGATCGAGTGACAGTGCGCGGTCAAAATGAATACGGTCACTGTGTGTGTGTTCACCTTGGTTTTGGTGATGAGTGTACAGAACGTCTTCGCCGGACCCAGATACAGGTAGGGGAAAATAAAAATTTTTGTCGTGACTCGCGAGGGCTCGCACTCCAAATCGCTCAACCCTCGCCTACTCGATTATAAATTAACGTGGTTTCGAATAAGCTTGATTTTGCTTAAAGTCGTGTTGTTGCATCATGTCGTTCTTGCAGGGTCAAGCGGGTCTCGGACGCCCATCTGGCGGACCTCCAGTCCAGAATAGCCCTCAACAATAAAATCAAAGGCATCTCGATTACCATGCCGGTGGGAGGCGGCCGGATCGACCCCCTCAGGATGTAAGTACCCCCCTGGATTTTTTTTGTCAAGTCGGCTAAATTTGCGTTTTTCCAGAGGGCGAAGGCGCCGATCGCAGTCCAGATTTCTTGACGTGCTTTTCAACCAATCGGAGGAAGATAAGGGTGACCCTGTCGAGCTGAACGATTACGACAGCCTAATCCAGAGATTAAGGAACTTCGAATAATCTCGTTTCGTTTTTTTGTGATTGGTTGTGAGAGTTTTTATGATAGAAGAGTGTATTGTAAATTATTTTAACAAACAGTATTACCTATTACTTAAGTAGCTCTATTCTAGTCCATTATTTATTTTAATTTATTCTGTTTTGTAATCTCGGGCCTGAGGGCCGTTTTGTACGATTGTTTGCACGTTATTGTTATTTTTTTACGACATTAAAGAACTAGAACAGTTTTTGTTTTTTTATTTCAGATCAAAAGGTGCGAGTGTTTGCATTCTGTGAACGTTATTGTTTAAGTAGTTTAACTTGTTGTAAACCTGACTTAAGTCTGTATTGTGTGCTGTGAACTTGACTTAGTAGCGGAAATGTCAATGTCAAACTGTCGTATAAAGCAACATATAAAACTTGTACACACACAATTTTCTCCGCACACCACTCAAATTTATCTTTTATGGACACCTGACACAAAGTACTGCGTTTCGAAACAGTTGTAAACTAGCACATAAAAATCTATCTTTTCTTTGATGAATCACACGTCTTTGCGTGGAAAAATATTTTCGTGGTAGAAGCTGTGACGTAGGAGGGTTATAAAAGGCGGAATGTCAACAGACGTCTTGCATTTTCAAAGAACTGATAGAAAATAGAAAATACAAGTGTTTACAATGTGTAAAAATGTTGTTTGAAATATATGTGTAATGTACATTAGGGTTTGTTTGAATATCAATAATGACGTTTTGGGTGAATAATGGTGAAGGTAAATAGCACGTGGATGCGCGTTGGCAGGGTGGGTAGTGAGGAGGTGTGGTAATGCAGTTGCGTAACCTTTGTAACTACGCACCTGGAGTTGGCGCGGGTTTTGCGGTGGCGGCGCCATCTAGCGGTGGGTGTCGCGAAGCGGAGTGGGGAGATGGAATCGCGCCACTTTGGTGATAACAGGACTCTTATTTGATACGAATTCGGTTATTATTGATTGAGGACTGGAGCTAACTGACTAAAGTTGGCTGCATTTCAACTAATGTTTTACTACTCGTGGAAATGACATAAAAGTTTAAATAGAATGTCAATGGATGTCAAAAGGAATTTTTATGAGTCACAAACGTCAATTTTAGATCAGATTTGTTTTCCTGTTGTAGAATGCAAGTGTTTATATCCTGTGAACGGGATTTTCGGGTGACGCCTCAGGTAAAGTCTCCCGCACATGGAAATAAAAAGACAGAGCAGAAACTTAACCTCAAAATTAATTTTTCATTTTTCCATTTTTTTTAAACAATTTTTCGATATTACCTTTCGATTTTATAATTTTTCAAATGTTCAATCTTTAATTTTTTAATTCCTCGGTTTCTCGATTTTTAAATTTTTTAGTTTTCAAATTTTTGGATTTCTCAATGATCTGATTTTCCAATTTCTTTAATTCACAATATTTCGATTTTTTTTTATTTTCACTTTTTCGATTTTTGTTTTTGTCAATTTTTAATTATGTATTTCAATTTTTCGTTTCCTAATTTTTCAAGTTCTTGATTTGCAATTTTTAGATTTTTCATTTTATTATTTTTCGGTTTTTCATTTTTTATTTTTCAGTTTTAGAAATCTGCAATTTTTACATTTTCTTGATTCGAAAAGTTAAGTTGGAAAATCGAAAAATTGAAAAACCGAAAAAATGACCAGTCCAAAAATTACAAATCGAAGCAATGAAAAACGAAAAACTTGGAAAAACTAAAAATCGAGAAACTCTAAATCAAAAATTTATTAATCAAAAAATTGGAACTAAAAAGAAATGGATCGAATCGAAAAATCGGAAAATCCAAAAACTATAGCATCCAAAAATGGGTGATAGTTTTTCGACTTGAAAATCGAAAAACTAAAAAGTTTTAACATCCAATAAAATTTAAAACCGAAAGATCGGAAATTTTTCGAAATTACAATTTTTCATTATTCGTTTTTTCAGTCTCCCATTTCATAATTTTTCGATTCCTCAAATTTTCAAGGTTTTGGTTTCTAATTTTCATTTTTCCGACCTTTTCATTTTATATCAGAGTTTTTCGTTTTTTCACATCCTTTATTTTCGCAATACAGATTTCTTTCGATTGTATAACTTTTCAAATGTTTTTTTAATTTTTTAATTCCGCGGTTTCTCAATTTTTAAATTTTTTAGTTTTCAAATTTTTGGATTTCTCATGATCTGATTTTCCAATTTCTTCAATCCTCAATATTTCGAATTTACAATATTTGTTTTTTTTTACACTTTTTCGATTTCTGATTTTGTCAATTTTTAATTATTTCAATTTTTCGTTTCCTAATTTTCCAAGTTCTTGATTTGCAATTTTTAGATTTTTCATTTTATTCTTTTTCGGTTTTTCATTATTTATTTTTCAATTTTAGAAATCTGCAATTGTTCCATTTTCTTGATTCGAAGAATTGGAAAATCGAAAAACTGAAAAACCGAAAAAATGACCAATCCAAAAATTACAAATCGAAGCAATGAAAAACGAAAAACATGGAAAAACCAAAAATCGAGAAACTCTAAATCAAAAATTTATTAATCAAAAAATTGGAACTAAGAAGAAAAAAATGGATCGAATCGAAAAATTGGAAAATCAAAAATTATAGGATCCAAAAATCGGTAATTCAGTTTTTCGACTAGAAAATCGAAAAATTAAAAAGTTTTAAAATCCAATAATTAAAAAACGGAAAAATTGAAAAATTTTAAATTGAAGAGTTGAAAAACAAATAAAAATTCAAAAATTTAAAACCGAAATATCGCAAATTTTTCGAAATTACAATTTTTCATTACTCGATTTTTCAGTCTCCCATTTCATAATTTTTCGATTCCTGAAATTTTCAAGTTTTTGGTTTTTATTTTTCGTTTTTCCGACCTTTTCATTTTATATCAGAGTTTTTCGTTTTTTCACATCCCTTATTTTCGCAATACAGATTTCTTTCGATTGTATTACTTTTCAAATATTCGATTTTTAATTTTTTAATTCCGCGGTTTCTCAATTTTTAAATTTTTCAGTTTTCAAATTTTTGGATTTCTCATGAACTGATTTTCCAATTTCTTTAATCCTCAATATTTCGAATTTAAAGTATTTGTTTTTTATTATTTTACACTTTTTCGATTTTCAATTTTGTCAATTTTTAATTATGTATTTCAATTTTTCGTTTCCTAATTTTTCAAGTTCTTGATTTGCAATTTTTAGATTTTTCATTTTATTCTTTTTCGGTTTCTCTTTATTATTTATTTTTCAATTTTAGAAATCTGCAATTTTCCATTTTCTTGATTCGAAAAGTTGAAAAATCGAAAAATTGAAAAACCGAAAAAATGACCCATCCAAAAATTACAAATCGAAGCAATGAAAAACGAAAAACACGGAAAAACTAAAAATCGAGAAACTCTAAATCAAAAATTTATTAATCAAAAAATTGGAACTAAGAAGAAAAAAATGAATCGAATCGAAAAATTTGAAAATCAAAAATTATAGGATCCAAAAATTGGTAATTCAGTTTTTCGACTCGAAAATCGAAAAATTAAAAAGTTTTAAAATCCAATAATTAAAAAACGGAAAAATTGAAAAATTTGAAATTGAAGAGTTGAAAAACAAATTAAAATTCAAAAATTTAAAACCGAAATATCGCAAATTTTTCGAAATTACAATTTTTCATTACTCGATTTTTCAGTCTTCCATTTCATAATTTTTCGATTCCTGAAATTTTCAAGTTTTTGGTTTTTATTTTTCATTTTTCCGACTTTTCATTTTACATCAGAGTTTTTCGTTTTTTCACATTCTTTATTTTCGCAATACAGATTTCTTTCGATGGTATAACTTTTCAAATGTTTGATCTTTAATTTTTTAATTCCGCTATTTCTCAATTTTTAAATTTTTCAGTTTTCAAATTTTTGGATTTTTCATGATCTGATTTTCCAATTTCTTTAATCCTCAATATTTCGAATTTACAATATTTGTTTTTTTTTATTTTACACTTTTTCGATTTTCGATTTTGTCAATTTTTAATTATTTCAATTTTTCGTTTCCTAATTTTTCAAGTTCTTGATTTGCAATTTTTAGATTTTTCATTTTATTCTTTTTCGGTTTCTCATTATTTATTTTTCAGTTTTAGAAATCTGCAATTTTTCCATTTTCTTGATGCGAAAAGTTGAAAAATTAAAAAAATTTAGAAAATAAAAAACCAAAACGAAAAATTGCAAATGGAAAATTTGAAGAAATCGAAAAATGAAGAAACAAGAAAAATGAAAAACATTTAGTAAAATTGAAAAAAAAAGAAAAATTGAAAAACTGAAAAAATGAACAATCCAAAAAGTGCAAAATCGAAAAAGAGAAAAATCGAAAAATTACAAATGGAAGCAATAAAAAGCGAAAAACCGGAAAAACTAAAAATCGAGGAATTTTAAATCAAAATTTAATTAATCAAAACATTGAAACTAAGAAGAAAAAACGGATCGATTCAAAAATTTGGAAAATCCAAAAATTATAGCATCCAAAAATTAAAAAATTGTAAAGTCGAATATTTATAATTTCAGTGATAGTTTTTCCACTTGACAATTAGTTTCAAATTCCAATAATTGAAAAATGAAAAAATTGAAAATATTAAAAATTTTACATGAAAACATGGGGAATTTATTAAATCAGAAAATGACAACTAGAAAAATTGCAATTCAAAAATTGATTAACCTAAAATTTGAAAAATCAAGAAACTGAAAAAGCTGAAATTGAAAAATTTAAAAAAAAATCAAAAATTGAGAAATAGGGGGTTTATAAAAGTAAAAGAAAATAAAAAGCAGAATCCAACCAAAAAATTGCAAATCGAAAAATTCAAGAAATGAAAAATTCTAAAATCGTAAAATGAAAATGTATAAAAAATTATAAAATTGTTATTATTAAGATTATTACACATTTAAAATAAATACTGAAAAATATTGCCGAATCAAAAATTGAAAAAACGTAAATAAAAAAATTAAAAAAGTTGAAAAATTTAAAAATCCAAAAATTGTCATCAGGTAAAGTCTCATGGATATGGAAATAAAAAATTAATTTTTCATTTTGCCATTTTACAATGATTCGGTTTCATAATTTTCCTTTTTTCACCTTTAATTTTTTCGATTCTTCAATTTTTCGGTTTAAAATTCTTCAATTTACCAATTTTTCGATATAACAATTTTTGATTATTCGATTTTTCAGTCTCCCATTTTTTAATTTTTCGGTTTTTCAATTTTTCGTTTCCTCAAATTTTCAAGTTTTTGATTCTGATTTTTCATTTTTCCGACTTTTTCATTTTCATTTTCTCGATTTCATATAACAGTATTTCGTTTTTTCATTTCCTTTATTTTTGCCATATTTCTTACGATTTTCTAATTTTTCAAATGTTCAGTGTTTACGTATAAATTTTTCAGTTTTGAAATTTTTAGTTTTCTCAATGATCTGATTTTTCAATTTCTTGAATTCTCAATATTTCGGTTTTACAATATTTAGTTTTTGATTTGCAATTTTTAGATTTTTCGTTTTTCATTGTTTATTTTTCAATTTTACAAATCTGCAATTTTTCCATTTTATTGATCCGAAAACTTAAAAAATGAAAAAATGAACAATCCAAAAATTGCAAAATCGAAAAATTGCAAATCGAAACAATGAAAAACGTAAAACATGGGAAAACTAAAAATCGAGGAACTTTTTTTAAATTGAAAAATTAATGAATAAAAAAATTGGAACTGAGAAGAAAAAATGGATCGAATCGAAAATTTGGAAAATCCAACAATTGTAGCTACAAAAAATTGAAATATGTAAAGTCGATTGCAATTGAAATTAAAAAATTTCACATTAAAAAATACGCAAATTAAAAGATCAGGTCGTTGAAACTTGATAATCGAAAAATTAATAAACAAATTAATGAAAAAGTTTAAAAATGCAGTAATTGAAAAATGGAAAAATTCTAAAATCGTACAATTGAAAATGTGAAAAATTTTAGAAACTATAAATACCATATTAATACTTATTTAAAATGAAACATTGCAAATCAAAAATAAAAAAAAAAATGATAAATTGAAAACCAAAAAAGTTGAAAAATCGAAATCGAAAAATTGAAAAATCCAAAAATTGAAAAATTTCACATAGAAAAATAGGTAAATTACAAAAAAATTTTAAAATCGGAACATCCAATGAAAAACAAAAAAAAATTCCAAAACCGCAAAACTGAAAAAGTGAAAATAGTTTTAAATTATAATTATTATTATTACATTTTTAAAATCAAAGATTGCCAATCAAAAATTGAAGAAATCAAAACTGAAAAAATCGAGAAACTGAAAAATATAGAATTGATACAAATTTACCATTTCAAATATGTTTAGGGTTTTTTTTGTGAAAAGATGACTACACATATTAAGAAAAACATGCAAAATGTAAGCCCCGCCCACCCACCCTATCTCAATTGTGATGATTTTTTTTATTCGTCGTGAGTCAAGGAGGCGAAGCTTAACTGCAAAATCCTTATTTCTTTTCGACAAATTAAAAACATGTTTTTGAGTATCGTGTAGTTCAAAGAATACTATGTATATTAAGAAAAAATTAAAGCCAAAGATTAGGCTCCACCCATACACGCCCCGAACTCAATTGCCAATTGTGATGAATTTTTCATTCGTTGTCAGATCGAGGGGCGGAGCTTAACTGCAAGATTCACTTTTGTCTACACGAATTTACCATTTTAACATGTTAAGAAAAGAGACAAAATATAAGCCCCGCCCACCCGCCCCATCTCAATTGTGATGATTTTTTTTTTAATCGTCGAGAGTCAAATAAGCGAAATTTAATTGCAAAATCCCTATTAGTTCTCTGCAGAAATTACCATGCAAGACATATTTTGGAGTTTCGTCTTATTCAAAAAATTCTATATATATATTAAGATAAAATTAAAGCCAAAGATTAAGTTCCACCTATACCTGCCCTGATCTAAATAGTAATGCAGTTTTCATTCGCTGGCAGATCTAGGGGCGGAGCCTAATTAAAAAATCCAATTTCTTTACACAAATTTGCCATTTTAAACGTGTTTTAAGTTTCTAAGAATAAAAAAATCATCACAATTGAGATTGGGTGGGTGGGCGGGGTTTATATTTTGCCTTCTTTTCTTAATATACTTAGTATTCTTCGAACAACACGATACTCAAAAACATGTTTTTAATTTGTTGTAACGAGAACAGTATTTTGCAGCTAAGCTCCGCCCTCTTGGTTCACAGCGAATAATAAAAATCATCACAATTGAGATCGGGCGGGTGGGCGGGCTTACATTTTGACAATTTGTTTTCATACGTGTAGACTTCTTTTCACAACATGAAACTTAAAACATGTTTCAAATGGAAAATTTGTATAAGGAAATGTCTCTTTGGCAATTAGGCTCCGCCCTATAAAGGCAAAATCCATAAAAATGTGCCATCTTAACCAAGTTATAGGATTCTTGTTATGAAAAAATGGCTATGTATATTAAGAAAAAAATAGGCAAAATATAAGCCCCGCCCCCCACCCTATTTCAATTCTGATGATTTTTTTATTCGTCCTAAGCCGAGGGGCGGAGCCCAATGGTAAAATCCATATTTCGTTAAAAAAATTTACCATTTTAAACGTTTAAGTTTCTAAGAATAAAAAAGGGTCATCGCAATTGAGATTGGGTGGGTGGGCGGGGATAAAAATCAAAAACTTGAAAATTTGAGGAATCGAAAAATTGAACAAGCGAAACTGAAAAGTCGAATAATGAAAAATTGCTAAATTGAAGAATTTTAAATCGAAAAATTGAAGAATTTGGGAGTAAAGAAATTGAAAAATCGAAAAATGAATCATTGAAAATGGAAAAATGAAAATGAGAAAAAAAATGAATTTTTTGAAAATTTTTAGACGACTGTTTCAAAAATGAAATTTTCGACCCATTTTTGATGATTTGCGATTTTATAAGATTATTATAGAGGTTATGTTTGTCCAGTAAAATGTATTTTTCAATTTTTCAACTTTTTTAATTTTTTTACTTTTAGGTTTCTTCAATTTCTGATCAGTCAATTTTTTTTTAGTTTTTATTTTAAATACTTATGTAATAATGTTATTAATAACAATTTTAAAATTTGTTGCACTTTTTCAATCTTACGATTTTAGAATTTTTCAATTTTTCCAACTTTCGGTTTTTTAATATTCTGATTTTATAAGTTTCCTATTTTTTTTTGTAATTTTTCAATTTTTGGATTTTTCAATTTCCCCATTTGCAATATTTCGGTTTGCAATTTTTAATTTTTTTTTCAGTTCTTCAATTTTAGATTTGCAATTTTTCTAGTTTTCATTTTAAAAATGCAATAATAATTATAATTTAAAAATCATCATTATTCAATTTAAAACTTTTGAATTTTTTTGATTTTTCATTCAATGTTCCGATTTTATAATTTATTGTTTTTTCAATTTCAGTTTTTTAAATTTTGAAGAATTTTTCGATTTGCCATTTTTCAGTTTTTATTTCTTTTTTGTATCTTCAATTTTTAGATTTTGCAATTTCACAAGTTTTATATTCGGTTTTTTATTTGCTTTATTATTTACCATTTTAAACGTTTTACGTTTCTACGAATAAAGAAGAGTCATCACAATTGAGATTGGGTGGGTGGGCGGGGTTTATATGGCCTTCTTTTCTTAATTAAGTATATTAATGTCGATTAGGCAATTAGGCTCCGTCCCATAAAGGCAAAATTCATAAAAATGTACCATCTTAACCAAGTTTTAAAATCCTTGTTATGAAAAGATGGCTATGTACATTAAGGAAAACGAGGCAAAATATAAGCTCCACCCACCCACCCCATCTCAATTCTGATGATTCTTTTGTATTCGTCGTAAGCCGAGGGGCTGAGCCTAATTGCAAAATCCATATTTCGTTACAAAAATTTGCCATTTTAAACGTTTTAAGTTTCTACGAATAAAGGAGAATGATCACAATTGAGATGGGGTGGGTGGGCGGGGTTCATATTTTGCCTTTTTTTCTTATTATACGTAGTATTCCTTGAATAAGACGATACTAACAAACATGTTTTTAATTTCTTGTAAAGAAATGAGTATTTTGCAGCTAAGCTCCGCCCTCTTGGTTCACGGCGAATAAAAAAATCATCACAATTGAGATTGGGTGGGTGGGCGGGGTTTATATTTTGCTATTTGTTTTAAAATGTTTAAACTTCTTTTCATAACATAAAACTTAAAACATATTAAAAATGGAAACTTTGTATAATGAAATATCGATTTTGTAATTTTAGCTCCGTCTCATAATTGCAAAAACCATATTTACTTGCAAAAATGTATCATTTTAACGATGTTTTAAGCTCCACCCGCCCCTCCAGCTCAGTTCTGATGATTTTTTTTATTCGTCGGATGAAATACAACAGCAAGAGTGTGGAAGAAAATCCGAAAGATATCTTCATCGAGAATTATGAAGGAACTTCAGAAGTTAAAAATAGCCGAATAACGTTGATTAATGAAGAAAGTAGAAAAGTAGTGGAACAGTTGCATAATTATAAAAAATAAAAAATAATAAAATATCGTAGTAATATTAATGTCGCAATATGTTCAAAATTAAATTAAAAGAATGAATCTGGAATTCCTAGACTATAAATGCCCGTAACTTAACCTCAAGATTAATTTTATTGGAAGAAAAACAAAATACAAAAGTAAATAGATAAAATAAATGTTGGGTTTAAATTAAACAAAACTTGGGTTTACCGAAATAATTACAAACCGCGATGACAGTTAAATTATCATTATTAACCACAAACGTCAATTCAGTGTTAGTATCCGCCGAACCACGCAGCGTCCCCATCCGCTGAACCCCAACCGCTATCGATTCGCCTTCAGCGCACACTCCCACTATTTACGCATCACCTGAAAAAGGACAACCCCATCCCGTCGCTCGCGCGCGCGACAGAGACGCCCGCTGCGCGCACGCGCATTGGTCCCTTCTCGCTCCGCGAGACAGAGACAGCCGCATCTGCCCCCAGCGCGCCCGACAAAGACCCCGCATCGCCCGTCGCCAATCCAAAATGGCGGCTGACAACTGATCGGTATTTTGTTCATCGGCCGTTACCAAAGTGAAAACGAAAACAAAACCGGCCCTAGACCTCGTCCCAGTGCTCGAAGATGTGCAACGTGACGTGAAAGTCGGCCCTTTCCGCCCTTCTCGCCCTCCGCCGCCCCCCTCGCGCTGATGCTTTCCGGACAATGGCGGTTACAATACGTTGTTTTGAGTGCATTTGTGTACGTGCGAGTGCTTCGCTCCGGCTTCGCCCCGATCTAGAGTGTTGATGTGTCGGCTGTCGCTGTTCATTTGTCTAACTATGAATACTGTCAATGCCGGCGACAACGTCTACGATTTCAGCAATGAGGAGAACTCGGCCAAGTGGAAAGGGGTGCTCACCGCCGCCCTGAAGAGGGTAAGGGGGAGGGGGCCGGGGGCCGGGCCCCCGGACGGGGCCCGGGCTCCGGCCCGCAAATGTCAACGGCGAGACGGTTGGCAACACCGCGCCCGGCAACTGGCACGAGTTTGAATTTGGGGTGGGGGTGGGGGCTGGGGATGGGTGGCTTGGGGCGGGGGTGGATGGGTTGTGTTTTGACAGTTGGGGTGACGTCACGGATGGGTACTTCCGTGAGGATTTTTTTTATGGTTATTATAAATAATTTCGCCGCCAGTTTTATTAAACGTGTTTAGGTTGTGCAATATTATATAAAAAGGTGAAATTAATCATGGGAGCTGTTAAATACCGGTCACGACACGCGAAGTGTACAGGCTGGTCTATAACCGACAGGGACAAGTTTAATGATAAGTTGAACAGTATGCAAAAGACGGTTGCTTTTCACGATTGTTTGATTATAGGATCTTGTTTCGCTTGACTTGGGTGACTCATACCGAAATAAAATAATTGAACTCTAAAGGTTATGACCCTATTCGAGAACTGTCGCATGTCACATGCACCCTGCATAATTAAACATCATTGGAGCGTCTTCAATTGGTACTGAGTCATTCTACGTCATAGTGCATTTTTTTTTTAAATACCATTATAGTCCGGAAAAAGTGACCTAGAAATCTTTGACATTTAACAGAATTGTTAGAAGTGTCAGTTTTATTATACACAAAGTGAGGTTAAGTTGCACCATCGTAAATTGTTACAAAAAATTAAGTCCAACTTGATCATTTTTTTGATTTTTTTTTATTCAAGTGTGGTGCAGACGGTAAAACTCCAGCCAAACTTTGTCTAGTTATCCCCACCAACAATGTGATGACGTCACCTGAAAATGATACATATACTTTTTGAAAATTTTTTGGAAAATTTGTTTCCATTTTTTTTTGGGTTCCTTAAAGAATTACAGGAAAATTGATTTCAGATTACTGATTTATATCGAATTTTTTTACAAGCTAATCGGGTTTTCAATTGAATAAAGTCCGTTTTAACATTTTTTTGGAAAATTTTCGAAAACTGTTTGCTCGAATTTGTCGATTATTTAAAGAGTTCTGGTTAAAAAGACTTCAGATTCATAATCTCTGGAAAATTGGCTAGAAGTTTGTGTTTTTCTCCATTTGAATTAGATCCTTTCTATACTTATTGAAAAATTTTTGGAAAATTTGTTTCCATTTTTTTTTTGGGTTCCTTAAAGAATTACAGGAAATTGATTTCAGATTACTGATTTATATAGAATTTTTTTACAAGCTAATCGGGTTTTCAATTGAATAAAGTCCGTTTTTTAACATTTTTTTGGAAAATTTTCGAAAACTGTTTGCTCGAATTTGTCGATTATTTAAAGAGTTCTGGTTAAAAAGACTTCAGATTCATAATCTCTGGAAAATTGGCTAGAAGTTTGTTTTTTCTCCATTTGAATTAGATCCTTTCTATACTTATTGAAAAATTTTCGGAAAATTTGTTTCCATTTTTTTTTTGGGTTCCTTAAAGAATTACAGGAAAATTGATTTCAGATTACTGATTTATGTAGAATTTTTTACAAGCTAATCGGGTTTTCAATTGAATAAAGTCCGTTTTAACATTTTTTTGAAAAATTTTCGAAAACTGTTTGCTCGAATTTGTCGATTATTTAAAGAGTTCTGGTTAAAAAGACTTCAGATTCATAATCTCTGGAAAATTGGCCAGAAGTTTGTTTTTTTCTCCATTTGAATTAGATCCTTTCTATACTTCCTGAAAAATTTTTGGAAAATTTGTTTCCATTTTTTTTTGGGTTCCTTAAAGAATTACAGGAAAATTGATTTCAGATTACTGATTTATATAGACTTTTTTTACAAGCTAATCGGGTTTTCAATTGAATAAAGTCCGTTTTAACATTTTTTTGGAAAATTTTCGAAAACTGTTTGCTCGAATTTGTCGATTATTTAAAGAGTTCTGGTTAAAAACACTTCAGATTCATAATCTCTGGAAAATTGGCTAGAAGTTTGTGTTTTTCTCCATTTGAATTAGATCCTTTCTATACTTATTGAAAAATTTTTGGAAAATTTGTTTCCATTTTTTTTTGGGTTCCTTAAAGAATTACAGGAAAATTGATTTCAGATTACTGATTTGTATAGAATTTTTTTACAAGCTAATCGGGTTTTCAATTGAATAAAGTCCGTTTTAACATTTTTTTGGAAAATTTTCGAAAACTGTTTGCTCGAATTTGTCGATTATTTAAAGAGTTCTGGTTAAAAAGACTTCAGATTCATAATCTCTGGAAAATTGGCTAGAAGTTTGTTTTTTTCTCCATTTGAATTAGATCCTTTCTATACTTTTTGAAAAATTTTTGGAAAATTTGTTTACATTTTTTTTGTGTTCCTTAAAAAATTACAGGAAAATTGATTGCAGATTACTGATTTATGTAGAATTTTTTTACAAGCTACTGGAATTTTCAATTGAATAAAGTCCGTTTTAGCATTTTTTTGGAAAATTTTTGAAAACTGCTCGATTTTGTAATTTATGGAAAATAAACAAAGTTTGGTTTTTTCTCCATTTGAATTAAATCCTTTGTATACTTTTTGGAAAATTTGTTTCCATTTTTTGGGTTTCTTGAAAAATTACAGGAATATTGATTTCAGATTATTGATCTGTGAACAATTTTTTACAAGCTAATGGGGTTTTAATGGAATCAAAGTCCGTTTTAACATTTTTTTGGAAAAATTTTGAACACTGCTCGATTTTGTCGATTATTTGAAGAGATCTGGTTAAAGGGGCTTCAGACTCGTAATCTATCGAAAATTCGCTATAAGTTTGATTTTTTTCTCCATTTGAATTAAATTCTTTGTATATTTTTTGAAAATTTTTTGGAAAATTTGTTTTCATTTTTTTGGGTTTCTTGGAAACCTTACAGGAAAATTGATCTCAGATTACTGAGTTATGGAGAATTTTTTACAAGCTAGTGGGGTTTTTCACAGGACTAAAGTCCGCTTTAACATTTTTTTGGAAAATTTTCCAAAACTGTTCGAATTTGTCGATTATTTAAAGAGATCTGGTTAAAATGGCTTCAGATTCTTAATCTCTGGAAAATTGGCTCGAAGTTTGTTTTTTCTCCATTCGAATTAGATCCTTTCTATACTTTTTGGAAAATTTGTTTTCATTTTTTTTGTGTTCCTTAAAAAGTTACAGGAAAATTGATTTCAGATTACTGATTTATGTAGAATTTTTTTACAAGCTAATGGAATTTTCAATTGAATAAAGTCCGTTTTAACATTTTTTTGGAAAATTTTTGAAAACTGCTCGATTTTGTAATCTATGGAAAATAAACAAAGTTTGGTTTTTTCTCCATTTGAATTAAATCCTTTGTATACTTTTTGGAAAATTTGTTTCCATTTTTTGGGTTTCTTGAAAAATTACAGGAAAATTGATTTCGGATTATTGATCTGGGAACAATTTTTTACAAGCTAATGGGGTTTTAATGGAATCAAAGTCCGTTTTAACATTTTTTTGGAAAAATTTTGAACACTGCTCGATTTTGTCGATTATTTGAAGAGATCTGGTTAAAGGGGCTTCAGACTCGTAATCTATCGAAAATTCACTATAAGTTTGATTTTTTTCTCCATTTGAATTAAATTCTTTGTATATTTTTTGAAAATTTTTTGGAAAATTTTTTTTCATTTTTTTGGGTTTCTTGGAAAACTTACAGGAAAATTGATCTCAGATTACTGAGTTATGGAGAATTTTTTACAAGCTAGTGAGGTTTTTCACAGGACTAAAGTCCGCTTTAACATTTTTTTGGAAAATTTTCGAAAACTGTTCGAATTTGTCGATTATTTAAAGAGATCTGCTTAAAATGGCTTCAGATTCATAATCTCCGGAAAATTGGCTAGAAGTTTGCATTTGAATTAGATCTTTTCTATACTTTTTGAAAAATTTTTGGAAAATTTGTGTACATTTTTTTTGTGTTCCTTAAAAAGTTACAGAAAAATTGATTTCAGATTCCTGATTTATGTAGAACTTTTTTACAAGCTAATGGAATTTTCAAGTGAATAAAGTCCGTTTTAACATTTTTTTGGAAAATTTTTGAAAACTGCTCGATTTTGTAATCTATGGAAAATAAACAAAGTTTGGTTTTTTCTCCATTTGAATTAAATCCTTTGTATACTTTTTGGAAAATTTGTTTCCATTTTTTGGGTTTCTTGAAAAATTACAGGAAAATTGATTTCGGATTATTGATCTGGGAACAATTTTTTACAAGCTAATGGGGTTTTAATGGAATCAAAGTCCGTTTTAACATTTTTTTGGAAAAATTTTGAACACTGCTCGATTTTGTCGATTATTTGAAGAGATCTGGTTAAAGGGGCTTCAGACTCGTAATCTATCGAAAATTCACTATAAGTTTGATTTTTTTCTCCATTTGAATTAAATTCTTTGTATATTTTTTGAAAATTTTTTGGAAAATTTTTTTTCATTTTTTTGGGTTTCTTGGAAAACTTACAGGAAAATTGATCTCAGATTACTGAGTTATGGAGAATTTTTTACAAGCTAGTGAGGTTTTTCACAGGACTAAAGTCCGCTTTAACATTTTTTTGGAAAATTTTCGAAAACTGTTCGAATTTGTCGATTATTTAAAGAGATCTGCTTAAAATGGCTTCAGATTCATAATCTCTGGAAAATTGGCTAGAAGTTTGCATTTGAATTAGATCTTTTCTATACTTTTTGAAAAATTTTTGGAAAATTTGTGTACATTTTTTTTGTGTTCCTTAAAAAGTTACAGAAAAATTGATTTCAGATTCCTGATTTATGTAGAACTTTTTTACAAGCTAATGGAATTTTCAAGTGAATAAAGTCCGTTTTAACATTTTTTTGGAAAATTTTTGAAAACTGCTCGATTTTGTAATCTATGGAAAATAAACAAAGTTTGGTTTTTTCTCCATTTGAATTAAATCCTTTGTATACTTTTTGGAAAATTTGTTTCCATTTTTTGGGTTTCTTGAATAATT